TTTTTTTTCTTATTTTCTTAGAATTATATCAAAAATTATTATTAAAAAAAAACCACCTAGGCAGCCTAGGCACTGCCTATGCACTCTAGGCTCTAGGCTGTGGGTAACCACCCACCATCACCTAGTGCTTTCTGCAACCTTGCCTAGGGTTCAGCTATCGTTTTCTGTCATTTCCTATTTTTTCAGTCTTCTCCATGCCTAAACAGCCTCCAACCCCTAAGCCCCTCATACCCCCTAATTACAGCATGAACTCAGTTTACAGTCATATATAAATATTTCTTTTTCCTGGATAACATGGGTATCAGACCTGTTGCCCCACTAATCCTACAGGTATCTGCAAACTGCCAAATCCATCAGCCTGGGTAGGACTCCACCCATTAAATAATGACAAATTGATAAATATAAAAATACAGAAATTTTACTGAAAAGGCCTAATGAAATCAAAATCATTTGTGTGGTTTAAAGTTTAACTACTAACTACAAGGCTAGCCAGTGTAGTATGAATAATGAATATCCACAGAAGCACACTCACATACTCAGAAAAGAATTATCCATGGATATTTGTAAATGAGGTAGCCTTTATTCAGCTTTCAGTTATGCCAACCAACAAAAAAAAAAAAAAAATTTGAAGCCAGGACATTGTTTGAAATCCTTTTTTTTCTTTTTTAGCAGACATTTTAAATCAATCTTTCAGATATTCTTAAAATTCACCAGATTCATCCATTATCTATAATACCCTCGCACGAAAGTGGAAATGGTGAAATACCTTTGAGGAATCTCTAAGTTGTGCCTGTAGACTCATAACTTGAGGCACAATCGTGTGAATTAAAGGCATCTGTTCGGAAATACCACCAGAGCTTTCAGACATTGTGTAGTGTATCAATTCAGAAATGACTGCAAGGATTGGGGAAATGATCAATGGTAATAATAATAATAATAACCAAAACCACCATACTAAAGTTATTACAGTACTTTAACAAAAAAGATGAAAATTTAAAAAAAAATAATAATAAAGAAGAAGAAAATATAAAAAATATGTTGGAACATACTTTAAATGATAATAACTACATTGCTAAAATAATAGTGGAGACTGTTGCAGGCTGAGCATTAACAAAAAGGATAAGAAAGATGGGGAGAGAAGCAACATGGCAAAAATAAGAATTTTTTTTGAACCCTAAATAAGAATTTGATGGTCAAATTAAATAAAATGACAACTTTACATTTATAGGCAAACACAAGCCAAGAGCATGTCAAATCACAAAGGTACATTCAACTCAAACCAGAAAAGCAGTTATCAACATAGATATAATATACAGATATTGAAAAGCACATACAAAAGCTACAGAGGCATCATAAACAACATTATAGTAAGGATAGATCCAACTACCAACATATTTTGGGACAAAGCTCAGTGAGAAACACTAGTTCGTCACAAATGCAATACCATTTACAGATGCCTCTGATAGTATATCAGAGTTCAAACTTGAAAGAGCTGTAAGCACTAATGGGTGAATGGCAAGCACAGATCCAGGGATCCTGAAACCAACAGAAATGCAAATAATTTAAGAAATGAAAGGAGGATCAGCGCAGAATAGAACTTCTCAAAGAGGAAGAGAAACAAATACATCAAAAAATAAAAATAACCCCCAACCACCACACCCCCCCCCCCCCCACCCCCGCCCCAAAAAAAAAATCCAGAACCACTGTCTCATTATTCTCCAGGTGATATGTAATATTCTTCCTATATGGAACTAGTATATGCTTAAAAATCTGTCTGGAGAATATATACACAGAGTAAGGGAAGCACATACCCATGCTTTAGTCGAAGCCAAGAAACAAAAGCCTCCAGTACCTGACAAATAAAATAAGTTGGATTGGTTAAAAGCAACTTAATGCAACATGCAGATACATATAGGTAATATGACAAACATAATAGACATTTAAAGTCAGGAAAACATGTTAGGATTGTGTACCATATAGAAGGTCCTTATTTGATGGATTTTGTCCATACTTAAATATATAAATTTGGCATCAAGAAGAGGAAGTCTGTAGTTATATCAATGAGGAAACAGATAGGAAATCTACATAGAATCATATTTTTACAACTAATGGAAGAAAATTTTCATATATACTCGGTGAACAATAGACACAAAACATGATAGAAATACTGAACAACCAAAATTATCTCAAAGGTAAACATCAACTTTGATATACATTCTTGCTGTTCAACAAAAAAATTTGATATTCATTCTATTAACAAAGGGCAGATTAGATGACACAAAGTTGTG